GGGGGGATGAGCTAGGGAGGGAAAGAAAAAGGGGAGAGTGAGATAAATTTGTCATTCCCACTCCAATTCTACAATGGAAATCGCTTTGCGCGGCGCATCAAAAAGCTTGATGAATACCAAACACATTATTTTACTCCTCAGAGCCCGGGCGGTTCAGCAGTAATCATCCAGATGCTTATTGATCGAATGATAAGGGCTGACGGAGCGTAGGGCTTGACAGCCGGTGTGTCAAAAGAAGGGGGGGGGGGTAACGGGCACTTGTCCTGCCTAATACGAAAATGGTTCAATACGAAGTTAAGCCTCGTATGAGGCTAAAGTCGATCCTGGGCATTGCAAAAAGGCCTAGTCACGCCTCTTGCCACTGCGCTATGTTCCTCGCCTTTTCTTCCTCTTTGCCGACTTTTTCGATTGTTTTCTAAGCAGTTTGATTGAAATTCGTCTCTTTGATTTCAGGACGAGAAGAAGCAGAACGTTAAAGTCTTCGGCCGGTTTGTTCTGGTGAGTATAGTACCTCGCCATCCCACTTTGCCTATCTTTATATGAGGTTTATTTATCTTTTTTTATTTATCCTTTTCCTTTATTGATTTACACTGATTTTTTGATATCCAGAGTTGGAACGACACAAACATCTCGTGGGACAAGAACCAATGGGGTCTCAGCTGGCTGAACTTCTACTGGATTCAGATTTGGACGCCACAGATCGTTCAGCTGAACGGGTGAGCTCCAACTTGTTAAAGAGTGAGGAAGCTCCGCCCAGGTGACGCCATACTGCAGCAATGCGGACTCAACCATCAACAGTGCGAATAGGCTGAGTTCAGTGAGAGCACAATCTTTACCGCGGCCCACTGATGTCACGTTAGACCCACTGTAAACCCCGTCCGAAAGACTACGCCCTATATTTAGAGCGCTTTTGATTGAGACATTGCGGTCTTTCCTGGAATTTTTCTGCCTCTTGAGCTGCGCCGAGAGGTTCTGCGCAGGGTAGGAGACTCCGCCCACTATGGCAGCACTGCCTACTTGAGGGAGCTCCACCTATTTGCATAGAATGGCTCAAATCGGCGAATCTTGGTTAGCAAGCAGTAGTCTCCCTTGTCACTCGGAACATGAACCAGGCAAGGCTTGAGCGGCGAGCGCGACTCTGCACTGGTATTTGAGCCCAGAGCCCCCTTCCTCCAATATTTTCGAAGAAATCCTCATCTCCTTCACGTAGCTGCAGTTCGGCAAGGCGAGCAGCGCTAAACTATCATTATGAGGCCCGCTACGGTGCTACGTTTGCCTATATATCGCTAACTTCTCTTTGAAAATTTATCAGTTTTCAGAGCGTCAACTTCCAATCCAGGCCAAGTATCCAGCAAAGTCTTAGCGGCTAACTACACCGGTCAAGTCTATCTATGGGCTGATTTCTCGTTCTCGACTCCATTCAGGTTCCAGTACGAAGACTATCCCAATGACATGCAAAGGGTAAAATTCAGAGCCTTCGAAAGAGCACAGAACCTACCTAATAACCCTAATTTTGTAGGTATGCTTCAAATTCGACGACAAACGTCTTCTTGCCGTCCATTTCACCGTGTCCGACGGAGTGAAGAATAAAGAACGCGAAGCGACCACTGATCCATTCGTTTCCGGATGGAAAATCGTCGACGTCGACGTTAATGTGAGCAGTTTTAGGTCATCTTTCGGACGACTATAAATTAGCTCTTTTAGGGAATTTATGGGGTACTGAGTGAAAAAGGGATGGGACTTTGGAGAGCGAAAAAAAAATTGCGGTAGAGGGGTGATTCGCGGGTTAAGGAGTGGCATAGCCTGGAAATCGCATTCTCTCGCTGCTCGTTGAGAGCTTTTGGAACCAAAATCTTCATAGTCCTCATTAGATTTTGATAAGAGATTAGGGCTAGGTAGTTGGGAGAGAGGGGCGTGCAAAGAAATGTCGTGTCTTGTTCTGTCCTGTCCCGACTTGTTTTGCAGCGCCCTTTCGGACCCTTATGCTGGGTATATACCCCACTTTTCTGTTCCTGGCGAAGCCACCCTTCCCACCCCCCGCTCCCTGGCTTTCTCTCGGCTACCTTCGGCTCTCGATCGCTCGCGATGAGCCACAATTTCAGCTTCCATTTGTAGTAATAGGCCACGCCAACGTCTTTGTCTCACTGCGTGATGATTACCACGTCTAGCTGAACCTAGAGCTCGTAAGTCCGGTAGCAGGTTAGAAAGCGTAAAATGATGAACAGCTCGATCACTGAGGCCAGGAAGATCTGATATGGGGCGTCTTTTATCACCACACCACTTCTGCTCAAACTGTCCTCTCAATAGATGTTGAGTTTCAGAGTTCGATAGTGTAGTTAGGGTGCGGAGAAGGGAGATAGTGGACAAGAATGGTCGCCTTCCTTTTCGTCGGCACTATCTAGAAGTCAGGCCGTTTCGCCGCTATCTTGAAGTGAGGCTGTTGGGAGCAGCACATTGAATGCACTGCAGCCATTGGCCCTAAAAACGAGATGGGACGGGAATTGGAGCACGGCAAAATCAGCCTTTTTAATCATTGTAGCACTGCCCATAGATGAGAATGGCATAATTGGAGAAAAAAAAGCCGCCCTGATTGCGGTCTCCCTCCACGCTCCTCTCTACGCCCTCAGTTCACAAGTATAGTGAACGCACCTCAATGGAAAAGCAGAACATGGACCCCGCCTGGTTCCGCCTGCACTTGAAGTTTCTTCAAGTTTCAGTAAAGAGGGCACCTCGAAATATTTTTCAGAACACGACACACCTCTCCACCCTCCCTTCTTTTGCCTTAAAATCCGAGAAGCAGGGGCGGTCCGGAGGTCCTTTCCTTTGATCAATATCAGAGAATTTTTGTCAAGCCGAATCTACTCCTTATGCGCTGGGGAATCTCCAACGTGTCCTGTCAGTGAATTCCTCGATTTTCCGACAGTAGGTGGCGCCGGTGCACGTTGTGAACCTCGGATGATGCAAATCCTTAAGATACCCCTAAGGCTACCTAACCCTCCATCCCTCCGTGGTCGGATGATGACTACGAGAATTGTCTGAATGAAGAGAACCACTGACATTAACACTCCTCTTCGCTGCGGATGAGGAGGTACGCCAGTGAAGCTAAGTTTTTTTGCTGCCGGGCCGTTCTCCTCCTGTTCATAAATCGTGTAAGCAACAACAACTGGTAGAAAACAACTTATACGAATGATGCAGTTTTGCCAAAAATGGAAAAAAACGGACTTTCGTTGCGCCAAACACATCCTAAAAGCCGGACTATCAGTGGACGGGATTTGCCAAAGGAAAAATTCTGTCCTCACACTCTTTATCGTTTCAGGAATCCCCGTTCAACGTCGAGGCGCTATCAGACCCAAGACGAAATCCATTCGATGTGCAGTCGGACAACTGTGAATTATGCTTGTCCCTACAGCGAAATGCTGTCTACTTTCACCGCTGAAATGCTACTGCCGGCTCTTGTCACCTCGCTATTCACCGTCGCTTCTGTATTCTTCCAGGTAACTCGTTTC